GTTTTTTTGTGCTGGCCCCTTCCCGGGTACCGTGTCTGCTGAGCTACCATGTACGGAGCCCCGTGGGGCCTTTTTTTTTGCTTTTTCCACCGCGTGCAACCCGGGTGATACCCACTTTTGTCCTTTTCCTTTTTTTTTACGGTGAAGACGGCAACAACAAAAACAAAATCANGGGGCCTTTTTTTTTGCTTTTTCCACCGCGTGCAACCCGGGTGATACCCACTTTTGTCCTTTTCCTTTTTTTTTACGGTGAAGACGGCAACAACAAAAACAAAATCAACACAAACGGCCGGGATTCACACACGAGGAACGACAACCCCCCCCCCCCTCTGGACCGTTGTTCAAAGCGCAATACTCAACGACGAAGAGGATTCCAAAATCAAATGATACCATTCAGAGGCTCTGGACGACACGGTTCCTACGCCGCCGTTGTTGGCACCACTATTCCTTCTGCTGCAGAGTGAAGTACTCGATGTGCAGAGCGAAGGTCACCTGCTTAGATTCCACGAGGCTGACCGACTGACTGCACAACACTCAGATCGATGTTGGTGCCAGCTTCATCGGTGTTCTACTGCTGTAAATATTGCGACAATTGCTTCCAGTTCAAGAAGTATTTGCAAGGTACTTGGGGGTGAAATGGAAGTTACGTATATCGAGTACCAACGCCACCATACGCGAGACTTGGAAGCCTCTGACAACATCAGGCCAGCTCGCACACCAGGACAGGTGTGATCAGACACACAGATAGTGTCCACAGCAGTAAAACACCCAGTGCCTGTGGTGGTGCAAAAATTCAGGCTTACCAGACGCCCATATGGCAGATATCAGACTCGACCACAGCAGCGCCAACTGCGGTAGGATTTGCCCCCATCTGGCCGCCATGTGTTGCTACTGCCGAGAGAGGTTGCGGTACATCAAGTACCACGGAACAGAGAGCCAGCACGTGCGGGAGTTCGCAGATCGTAAACCTCTACCACAGACCCATACCAGCGTCGTAGCCACTTTGCGGCCCCCTCTGGTGTTTGCTTGCGCCACACCGGTGCTGGGTGTTTTGCTGCCACTCTGTATTGCACGTCCATCGTCGGATCAACTCCACAGACATCCCTAGCTATCTCTCGAACTGCAAGAGCGATCAACTGGGAAATCATCACAGCTGGAAAACCAGGGGCTTAATTATTAGGGTTTGTCGAAGCTGGCAAGCTAAATGGCAGCATCCATCCAAGAGCTACAAGGCAGTAAGTGCTGCGTGCTTTGCTCTCGTGGCAGGTGAACAACAGCTTTGTGTGCAACGGAATTACTGCACAAGGAACAATCCCAAGGGGCGTGCAGTTGTATTGTCTTGGTTCTACCGTAGTCAAGACGACAGAGTGGACGAGTTGCTTGTTCATGGTGTGATGCACCTGAGACGCAAGTATTCCTCCGCATACTTAACACAGTCATCTTCCCCCCCCCCCCTCCCGCCGCCGTATGCATGAATGTGTGCCGACAAATTGCCGACGCGGGGCGTAACATCAATGCCGGCCGTACTTCCTTGTGCCAGAACTTGTGTCCGTCATCACAGGAGATGGCCGACAAATCTTGGTGAGCTGTTTAGATTGCAGCAGCAGTGCACTTGGGCGCAAAACATGTCAAATTCGCGCTTGTATCTCTCCGAGAACTTGCATGGAGACAGCCTCGGCGGTAGCCTCTCCTCACCTGTCTGCACCAACGGTAGTATAGTACTACCAAGTACCGCATGCTCCTTGTTCGTACGCACCGCAGGTGCCTGCTACCTATCCGAGAAAGCTTACCTTAAAGCTTTGCACCAATCTCTCCCCCTGTGCTTGTCTTTCATCAGGGAAACTTGAAGGGCTACGATCACACCATCAACCTTGTTCTGGAAGGATGCAAGGAGCGGATCTACTCTCAATCACGAGGGGTCGAACAGGTGAGGGAGACAGGCACCTACAGCAGCATGGTTGTTTAAGTGTGACGGGAAAACGGGCGATCCTGTTGTTGCTGGCGCCAGAAGATATTAGCTGCGCTATGCCTAGTCGAAGCATGCCGAATACTAATAGCTGGCACACACCCTGAACACTTGCTTTATTTGCAGTGCATTACGTTCTTGCTCATTGCGGGTAACGTGAATTTCCCTCCTAAAATACCTGTAAACACGGGTGTGTAGAAGTTCTATGGCCCACATGGGAATGGGTACCAGCGATAACTGCACGCTGCCTGCCTCGTGATCAGGTCCCCGAGAAGCAGGGAAGTTCAGACTTCTACCTCCCTCTCATCGAATGTAAGGGTTATTTTTTGTTTGCGCTCTCTTGGTTGCGAACTGAACCTCCAACACCTTTCGTTGCCCCCTCAACTCTGCATTTACCCGCAGGTTCAACTAGGTCTGTATATCTGCAGGGGAGACAACATGTGAGTCCGTCATTTGGCCTACCACACGCTGGTACCCTGGAAACGGCGACCGGCCCGTGGGAAACACAAGTACACGCCATGGCGCTGTTCGAACATTGTGGCCAAGTTGTTCCGGCTACGCGTTTGTGTTTCAGGGTGTGGCAAAGCTTAACTCAAAAATCTTGTCGTTGTGAGTTGTTCAACTGCTGAGATTAAATTTTGATGGGTACATGCAAGGTCCCGTGGTCCTGCATTTGTTCGTCTTTCCCTGCGGTTGCGCTATTCACAAACAATTCACCAACACAACTTGTTGCACGCTGCGTCTCTTGCTGTGTACGCAGTGCTGTGATCGGAGAAGTCGACGAGGTGGAGGACGCGAGCAAGGATCTCAGCAGAATTAGGGCAGAACCACTCAAACCGGTGACACATTGATGAGCCTATTCTGTCTGGTGCACAAGACCTACTGGCGAAAATGAGGAGTACGGCGCGCCGCGTGCTCGTTTTGCTGGAAAGCCCTATGCGGGCGGAAGGAGGGGGGGGCTTGGATAGACAAGAGCATATGAATTTTGGATTTTGTAGTCGTTCGCACGATATCCGGGAGGTGACATCATGTATGCATATCAACGACTTCAGTGTGATCACGTCCCAGAGTCGTGTATCGCTCTCAAGATCTCCGGGGGGGGGTTGATTGAGCTGGTGCGCGCTGTTGTGATAAAACACATCCCCTTCGATGGCCGTTGGACTGTCGGGCAAGCGATGTTGGCTGTTCTGCACTAGTTTGCAGTTAAACAACGCGCGACTTTTCTGGTGACAAGCACGGCACCCCAACTATAGGCGGAGAATACCGTTGATTCCGGCTAGGCCACATGTTGATAGCTCAAAAGATGCGCGCGCTTCGCCGATTGTCTTGTGTGTCTGCACACATGGAATGCTTGTCTCAGCAACTCCAGGATGGGTGTTGATCTCGTCCACTCCCATCATGAACTCCCGCGAACGCCTTGCTCACTCTCGACAACGCCTACATTTTAGCGACTTTTTCGATCGGAGCCTAGAGCCTTGCCTGTTGGCACCACAACCAACAGAGTGTATATCGTGTACAAACACCCCAGCGCCGCCGCCCCTGTCGTGCCTATCACAACCAAATCTCTGTGCCACGCAATTCCTCGAGGCACCCGAAGCGCAACCCCGACTGGGGATCTCGCCGGAAGCACGGGAGAAAATTGCCCCATGTTGCCAGCGCTCCCACATCGGATGCTGGCGAGTGGCGGAGGCACCTAATATTTGGGTCGAACAAGAGAGGACACACGGGGGTTCCTTGCTGAAAGACGGCGCAATGGAGCCTGTGGCAACGTTGTAAGGCGCACGGATCGTGTATCCAAGGATGATTGCAAGCCACGGGTACGATCGCAACGCAGCTGCAACGCGTACACACGTCGAGCATCGCCGAGAGATGCTATGTGGTTTGGTTGCGCTTACCTTCACCCACGCGTACCCTTCGCACTCCTCTCCGCGTCGGTCGCACCCCGGGTCTGGGTACCGGAGGTGCACGGGCAATGTCAAATCTGCTTGGATGCTGCTGGCCTCTCCTTCGAGACCGCGATCTCTCTCGGACATGTCGACCCACAGGTTGAAGTTGACGAGATGCTGGCCCGAGACCGACGAGGGTAGCTCGACATCAATCGGCCCTCCCTGAAAGGTCTCCACGCCCACCCTCCGACCTATTGGGGGCGAAGAAAGAACGTCGAAATCGTGGCGTGCCTGTCGTGGAAGCAATGCAAAAACACAGGCAGGAGACACAGCAGTCCTGGTAAACCTGTAAACATCATGGTGTCGGTTGCACAGTCAGGACCGGGTGGTGCCATGTGCCTGGACGGTTTGATTACCGACGTGCCTGGCCTTACGCGTGGAGTGCTTGTGAGTGGCTAGATTGAACGGCCAGTCCAACGATCATCAACTACGGGCAGTGATGGCAATAGCGCGCACATCTTTCGTCTGCCGCCGGTGACGGTTACATAGCTAACCTTCGTTTCGAGCACCATGTACAAGGAAAGGGGACGCTAGATACGAGACACAGATACACATCGTTCGGCGAGTGCGTGATTCCATTGCAACGACAACGTCATGCTCCTGGCCACGTATTCTGCTTCAAGCTGCACATGCAACGGGAGAATTCGCACACACAAGGCCGACAACATCAACAACCCGCACTTTTCTTTTCTCTCACCTTGACCTCGTCAACGTCGATATAAGCTCCTCGCGGGACGTGCTGCGCAAGCAACACCTCGCACAACTCCAATGCGTCGCCATCTTGCGATTCCCCTCTTTCCGAGAGATCATCGCAAGCTTTCCCAGTGCACCTAGCGTTAAACTTGACTCTCACCTGTTCAAGAGGCAGTTCACAAGACAGCGGAAACACGCACACGGTGTAAAAGACTGGGTTTGGTGCTTGAAGAGACGGCTGCGGTGGAGAGCTTCCCAGTAAACGCGCTATAAGAAGTGGCACTTACCCTCTGGCTGCCGTGCTTGTGGAATCCACCAGCAGACATGATCTGAAGATCTCCGCACAAAGGCAGCCATGTGCCTATCTGTGCTGAAACAGGGTAAAAAAAATAATTGGAGTACGGCGCCACCAGATACCTTTCCATCCCCGATCAGCTCTGCCCTTTCGCAGCAGCCCCTTCCGGTACGGGCATCTTTTTTCATGATCGCCGACAAACGATCGTGGCTATGGTGGGCAGAGAGCACTATTGTGGATGCTCTGCAAAAGGAATATCGCACATGCCTGTGTAGCCCCCCTCCCGGGAGCCCCACCACCGCAACATCCCCTCGCCAGCGTTGTCCGACGACGTCGGCCGGGGCCGTCGAGTGGTCCACGAACACAGCAGCCTCGTCCACCTTCATCGGCCTTCCGCGATCAGGTTCTCCGTCTGAAGACTTCACGTTCCCTAGCAGTGCGTTGTTCGGAGGCGCGACGCTCAAGTCGTAGCCGGAGAGAACACCGTCGAGTAAGATGCGATGAGCCTCCGAGATTACCTCCACCTCGGCGCCGCCTAGGCTGCGTGCCGAGACTGACGCGTAGGACAACTCTTGATTAGCATCGCTGATCGGCGGATGTGCAGCGGAGAGCAGGGCGAACGCGAAAGCTCGATACTTACAAGGTCGAACATGCTACAAGCGCTTTGTCTCACAGCTGGGCAGATGCGCGTAAAGTCTTGTTCACGAATCACAGCTGGGGCAGTCGTAACTTTTGTCCTTCACAAGCCGGTAGACGGCAGTAACTTCGTAAGAGGATGGGCTACGGGTAGCAATCATGCCGGGTGCACTGCCATGTGCCGACGTGCGGCATGACGAGTAAAACCTATCATGCGCCAGTACGACGGCAGGATTCGCCGTTCGTTGCGGCGGACGATGAAAACGGCTGCTGGCGTGGAAACGCGCACATGATATAAATGTCCGACAAGGCTGCAGTAGGCTGCGCGCGAAGCTTTCTCTCTATCTCAACCAAAACTCACGACGTGAGCAGCAGACTGTCGGTCACGGCGACACCAGTAGCAGGAGCCTGCGCGTCCTCCGCAAGATGTAACCACGCCACCTGCCCGCCATCTCCTTTTGCCCCGCCGCTCGCCAACTCGCAGACCAAGTTACTGGACGACGCGCACGGCACAAGGGCCCACCCCCCACGCGATGCGCTGTCAGCAAGGGACGAGATCGCCGCGGATGAGAGGGAGCTTGCCGCATCACCCAGCAGGCTCAGGCACGGTGTTTGCCATGCCAATCGCTTGGCTTCTTCCGCCTGACCGGTACCGGATCGGATGTCGCGCCACAGGGCGGACCAACCACCGGCCGTCGCTACCGGTTTCCCGCCAGCATCAACAGCTGCCGGCTTCTCATCAGCGTCGTCAGTTGAAGGCGGCACGTAACACATTACATGGATGCCCGGTGGCAGCGCCGTCACCGCAGCGAAGGTTTGGCTGACTTGCGCTGCTTTCATGAGCAGAGCGGATTCCGGAGATGACAGTCCAGATGCAGTTCCTCCGCCTGCTGGATCGGCATCATAGCTGCTGCTAGGTTGCAACCCGCCAGCAACCACGTGAGCTGATGCCATGGTATGGGCGGTCGTACCCGACGCCTGAGTATCAAGGAAGAGATGCGTGAGATTGGCCGTTGGTGCGAAGCGTGTATAGCAGTACTGCCATAGCATGGATATGTTGCTGTACTACCTTCTTACCGTCATTCCACGGTGCTGCAGCCTGCTGCTGTTCGCTCGTAGCGGAGAAACTTTGTCCGAGGGCAAAGTGTCTCGTTGACACCTTCCATGAGCGAGCGTGGGCTTCATTTCTGGAAGGGGATGGGACAGGGGAGCTCAACGTAGTGGTCATCCTGGGCTCACCGGTCTGAGTTGCGAGATACCCCGCGTCTGTTGCTCTCGTGTGAGGATTGCTTGTCCATCAACTGCAAACCAGATTTTCCCATCTATTTGACGAGCATCTTGTACGTCTCCGTCGTACAGAAGGGTTGTCTTCGAGTTGGCGTGCGGCGGAAGATCGGAGGCCATGGTCGAGTGCACGCTGTGGTGGAGTGCTACTTCTGACTTGTGGTGTCACAGGTCATGTCTCTTTTGGTCTTGCCGGGGGGGTCCTCTGGTCGGGGAGGACGGGGGTGCGCAGGGGGGTCCGCGTGCGTTGGAAAAGCGAACCAACACACAACGTCGCCCTGTTGCATGTTTTCGGTATTTCCGAGGCACTGTGCATATGCATACGACTGCGTTCATGGTGAACGCAAGGCAGACAAGGGACTTGGACACTTCCTCTTCTGTGCTGCTACAAAAACTTCGGGACCTCTGTTAGTTCAACGTGTTATTAGCCTTCTTCGCAGGTGAATACTTACGGTCCCCTTGCCAATCCGTCGTACCGAAAGAGCTCCGATGCGGTCACACGAAACATGAACATGAGTACACACGATGATTGTCAAGGTTTCTTGGTGCACGCCCATCACGTTAATCGGTGGTCCTAAACCGCATTTACGAAAACTATTGTATTTACCTCTACCTATTTACGCTCTCTTCTGTACTGCAAACCACAACAGGTGAACATCAGTTGAATTAACAGAAGACCAGCAGGGTTGGCGCAGCGAGCTCCGGCTGCCTCCTTTCTAACAAGCCCCAAAACTGCTTCAACTCGCAAGCGTTCCGCTCTTCCTCTACTTGATCCACATCTTGCCAGCCTCGGTCTTCCCGTCGACAAGCGCCTTCCAGTGCCCGTTGCACTCGTCGATCACTTTCATCGTCTCCTCCTGCCGCCCACAAGGAAACAAGGCCATGCATGCGTGCGAGTTGCACCGTTTGAGGTGACCGGGGATGTTAGGCACATTTTGGCAAAGAGAGCAGCCATTGCCTTGCTGTTGTGTTCTCATACCAAGCTGGAGCCGGAGTTTATCAGGATGTTGCAAGGGGGGGGCGATGCCCGTTCTGTCCAATCTTGTACATACAAAACATTCATTTTCGCGCCGCGCGGGCGATCAGTGTAGCTCCGTAAACTAGCATGTGCTTCGCTCAAGTAACCATGAGTTCTGGAATGCATAGTTGCCTCTCACAATCCCCGGTTTGGCCGCACAAAAACATTGCATACTCGACGGTATCCCAGCTCTTGCCGTGCCAGTCAAGACCCCAGCACAACCCGGCACCCACACCCGCCCTCCACGCAAACCAGCCCAACAATCTTCTCCTCCCCGTCCATCCCAAAGCGCGTAACTTAAATTGGCCCCGCAGGCATACGCGCACCTTGTTCAAAGCCTTCTCGTCGAAGCCGAAGGCGTTGAGAGGCTTGTCGTCGGGGGTCTTGTACCAGCGGAACCACTCCCGGATACCGGATACGTGCCCGGGGAGGAGCTTCTCGACGTCAGCGATGTCGTTTAGGTCCTTGGCCAACGGGTCGTCCACGTCGATACCGATCACCTGACATCACACGGCACAAGATGCGTGCGTGAATGCATGAAGGGGAGTCGCAGGGCAAACAGCAACGGTGAAGGTATTCCACTCGAAACAAGCCAAACGCAACCTGCGCATGAGCTGTAGCGGATGTATATAGCCGCACGAAAGGAGGTCCAGTCGCGTGGGCGAGTGTCTGCACCAAGACACACCACACTATTTTTTTCTTTTGCAAGCAGCTCGGAACCGCATCGAAGTCATGTACTGGTGTCAGACGAAATCTACCAAAAAGTATTGAAAAGGCGAGATAACGCTCGGAGCATGTGCGCGAAGATACAGCAAATCACGTCGCGCGGATTATGACAAAAACATGTACAAGGACAAGCGCGTACTGACGACATTTAGCACACCTTCCAGTCGAGCTCGCCGTCGTCGATCATCGCCAAGCACCCCAGAGGCTTGATGGCCTTAACAGCCCTGCATACCCCGCGAAACACGACATCAGCAGGGAACACACCGGGAAGAGGGCGCGTTCCTTAGCGTCGGATGAACAGCCGCCAAATTTACCTCGACTACTAAGTCCAACAATATGTGGCGAGCCGAGGTTCATGCGTGGCTTCATCAACACCGTCGGATCTTCACCCAGAAGGCTGGGTTGGCACAAGTCTTACAGCAAGTCGGTGCCGTTTCGCACAAGGAGCAAAGACGAACACAAAGCACCCCGCAGACGATTTCCTTTAGGTATGTCCCACGCCTGACCCGTCGTCAGAAACGGCCTACGTTTCGAGCGTTGAATCTCCGGAAGTCTAGCATCCCACATACATGCGTAGAGAGCAGTATTTTTGTTCCGGAAAAAAACAGAGGCCCCGAACGCAACTTGACGGGACAAGTACATGACACGGTCTTTTTGGTCCGAAAAAAAACAAGGGGGCCCAACAGCAACGCGGCGGGATGGCTCAGATCACCCACCCGGAGGCAAGCTTCGCAGACCCGATCTCCACGACATCTACCGGGTCACCGTCTCCGAGAACACCGAGCTGAAAGTTGTCCATTTGTCAAGGAGGTGTGGGCGGAGAAGCGACACACGAAGGCCAGCGTCGCCGAAGGTTTCGAACCGGATCATACAAGGAGGGGGGAGACGAGGGTTGGGTGTTTGAATGGAAGCAAGCACCTTGAGCGAGCCGTGAAACCGGTGCTCAAGATTGAGCAAAGTGCCTCGCAAGGCAACGCTCATCGAGAGCGCCTGTTAAGCATGCTACACCGGGACTACTGTCTTCATGGTGACAATGCGGTGCTGGCTGCAAGCAATCAATAATTCCATGCGAGTACCAACCACCGTTGCCCTGGCTCAAAAACAACTCGCTGTTTATCGCATGCATGACCCAAGAAACCGAGCCAATACCTTTCGACACTGGGCCTTGCCTAGCGAAGGATTCAGTGCCTCCCATGCGCCTTTCCTCTTGCTTTCAAAATTGAGTTGCAACGGCCGAGGTGTGAGCATTAACTTACCTCAGGGTGCTTGACCGTGGGGTCCTCCCATGTTTGGGGGATGTACCCGTAGTTCCAGAAAATGGGGCCGTGGTAAAACCTCAGCTTGCCCTTCTTGGTGTCCTGGAAAAAGGGGACGGGTGGGCGAATAAGGCCGTACGCGTGTCGTATGACGGCGTTATGGCCGACCGGAAATTAGCCAAGCGGCAAGAACATTGCCGTGAAAAAGCAAAAAGAAATGAAGGCCCCGCCTTATTCCAACGCCAAACCTCGTGAATGACGCGAGATTGCGATTATGGCGGTGTGTTACCGCCATCGAGCCTTTGCCGCGACGCTGCGATAACCCTCTATTTTGCCGGAGCTTCCACCACACGGCAGCGCACTGCTGTGGTGTTGGCACGCAATGCTCTTGTTGCGTTGGCTTACTCCTGTGCACCAGACCAAGCCACATGCCACACGCCATGCTGCACCTACCTGGGCGATGGGGTTGTTCGGCTCCTTGGTGGCGATCTCCATCTTCGCCAAGGAGCTAGGTACACAGCACGCAACGTAGACGGCAAAGCAAACACGATGCGGTGAACACATCGGCGGGCGGGCACAAGTTAGACACGACAATGATACCATGCGAGCCCATTCCCTCGACCTCGTACTCCAAAACCACCCCCAACCCCAACGAAAGCTGCAAGAGCACGCACACAGATCGCACACAACGCAACCAAATCGAGTCTTCCTGATCTACGCGAGAACAACCAACTGCGACGTGCTACACACTTCCACGACAGCAGCAAACGATGCGTTCCCGGACTCACTACTTGGGGATCTCGCAAACGTAGTTGAAAGTGTCCGCGCCGGCCTTGAGCGGGATGTCGTGCCAGGGAGAGATCTCCTTCCCGCCCTGGGCGGAGGCGGGGGTGGGGGGTGGCACGGAGGGAGGCAACAAAAAGAAAAGGGCGCCCGTAACGCCAGAAGGTCAGTCGCTTGCGAGCACTGCCCCGGGCAGCGGCGTCAACCCTAAACCTCACAAGAACAGCAGTCTGCCATCAATGGGACCTTGTTGTAGGCTTGAAAACAGCGGCCTATATTGTGAAAAAAAATATTTTCCGCGGGTTGCATCACAAAGGAAACGGCAAATGTAAGCCTCCTCTTCCCGCCAACGCGTCTACGTGTGTGTGTCGAACGCAACGCTCGAAAGCCCGCCTACTGCTTGCGGGGACGGTCGGCCACGCGATGGAGAGCCTCCGTCCCTCACGGTCACGGCACGCGCGTGTCAGGTGCCCTATCTGCATGCCCCCAGCACTATCGAGAGTCCCACCAAGTTGTATCATAGCATGCTCCGGGCCACCCGGAAGAACTACTTTCACGAAGGCGAACACGATACCCACAAATGTGTGATCAGGGCACCATTGTAGTACCAAGTGGCATCTTCATTTGTGCGGGATACTCGCCTGGTTGAAGAACGCGCGGTATTCCATCGTGTTCTCCTCGCCCTTCACCTTGATGTCGTATGCCTCGGCCTGTGCGGCACGCACAACAGGAAATTATGGCGGGTTACAGGAGAAAACACGCACGAACACAATCGTTGTGATCTGTGACTCTCGCCCGTATTTCTGTACATACGCCGCTTCAAACATTGTGACCGAACCAGTCTCTGGGTTACCGTTGGAATTGGAGAGATGGCACCGATCGCAAAGCTGGTACAAGGTGAGAAGCAAAAACAACCGCATGAGTTAATTGTATTTCCGCACCAGGGTCGGGTGAGATCGCGCCGGGCGGGATCTCACCGACCCTCAAATCCAAGATTGAGCTCTTCTTGAGCTGCCGTAATGAGGTACACGTGGGTACGTTTTACATGTGGTGGCGGTGTCCGCGGAGCACCACTCCTTCATGTACGTGGGTACGGTTGGCGCGGTTCCCGCGGGATTGTGTGGTGTCATGTGATCAGTACGGAATTGCAAACTGCATACCACCCAAGCACACAACATACCGCACCTTTCGAAGTAAATTTCATGTTGTGCTGCTTTTGATAACTGGTATTCGTAGAGGAAGGCCGAAACGAAAGCGGGAGACAACCTGATACCGGATGTACCGGTACCCCAGATGGAAACCACATCGTTCGTTGTCCTGGTCACGCCACAGCCAATCTCGCATTCAAACCCATCACCACTCGCTGCATGGAAATCTCCTAGGAGTTTGAACCAGCCTACGTTCGTGTAGGGTACACGCACATCGTCTGCTTGTTGGTACCTGCACTAGTGTACCAATATACTCAAGAGGTGGAGGGATATCACCGGTCGGGGAGACGGTCCTCGGGTGGGTGCATACAACACCGCCGAGCACGAGTAGGCCCGTGTGTGTCCATTCCGCTGGGCATCGCACCGGTCGGAGAGATTTGCACCGGGAGCCTTGAAACAACTAAATGAAGTGGTCGGTTTGCATTTCCGCATCGGGGTGCAACAAAAAACACCAAGAAAAAAATTAACGGCGCAAAAAAACAACGATCGCACACGGTGACGGTGGCAGAGACACCGCGAGCCGTGAGGGTATGCACCAGGGTCCAGAGCTGATGGGCCACACCGCTCCGGGACAAGAAGACAACTCTCTGGTACAAAATGCCAGCACCGGGATAACACATACCACGGGAATCGACCGCGCCAAGCGTTAGAATAGTACGGGACAGATAGGTATGCACTCGGTAGAGAGATCAGAACGGTTGTGGTGAGACAACAACAACGACCCGGTGTCAACTCTCCGACTATTGCGGCAAAAGGCGCCAAGACACCAAGATGCATGGGGCGTGTCTCAGGGTTGAGGGGCCAACTCACAGGGGCAATGCGTGCCACATCACCCACACCTCGCTCGTCGCATCTGTACGACCTGTTCGAGCCAATCCACCATCACAGCACTGACCCCGACTGACTTCGAAAGCATTGCACCGTCCGTTGTTGGGTACGGGAAATTGGAACAACACAGCTTGTAGCTGCTGCCGGAGTGCACCTGTCTGCTGCAAAGAGAACCTGTTGGGTACTGAAGCCGCTAATGTTGAGAGGCAGGTTCTACACAGGGCACACTCATGGCTCTAGGGGTAGACTACCCACTCGAGAAGGGTTTTCCGGGATGTGTGTGTGCCAACTCCGTACGAAATAGGTGGCACGGCAGACTGGTGCCGGCGGAGACGGAATGCATGTGTCTTGTGTGTACATACGAGAGCCTTCCTTGCACCATTTTGCCAGGTCAACAACAAAACTCCTGGGATTAAACGCTGGTTTGTCATGTGTTATCAGCACAAAATTTCTCTCCTGAAGAATAATAAAGGAATACATCGCACGTGTCTCTTGATCATGGACGTGCAACCCAGCATGCAACAGTTCGTCAGCCATGCGAACACCTGATGTTGACCGCTGCCTGCTGTGTCATGACTGCTGCTGTTAAAACCTTCACCGCAGTTCATTTCGCCACCAACACCGACTGGAAGACCGTTGTCTGGTTCGACGGGAACTCACCACGGTGGCCATCTGCAGGTTTCTTCCTGCATTCCGGGTGACCTGCCTCGACACGCCCTTAGCCTGCACACCAGGAACATCGAGGGACACATACACGACGCGCACCATGCGAGCGACATCAACGACCAGGCCAGCACACAAGGTGTGCAGCTCGTGCCAAAACAAACGGCTAGCGTGCTCAAGACAACGGTTCACGCAAAGATCAGACGACCTTGAGCGGCCGTATGACGATACACCATCATTCCTGCTGCTGCTGCTGCTGCTGCTGCTACTTGCTGCTGCTGCTGTGTTGTATGCATAGCCTACGAAGTAGTTGGTTAGCAACCGTGTGTTGAACCTGTCATCTCGCACACTTCGCTCACCGCTCGGAAGCCTGCCAGGGGGGCTGTGAACGCGGAGGTGGTGCCCAGAGCACATAAAGCCGTGGCGACTGCCCTTCCGCGAACCATCATGCTAGTAGCTTGGATAGCTTCCCGGAGACTGGTGCGATCCTCTGCTGGATTCGCGGACAAGGTGGTTGCATGTAGCGTGTATGCGTGCGTGTGGGGAGAGAGATGTGGGGAGGTTTGTTTACAGTACACTTTGTATATATTTGCACCACAGCAGCAGTAACCATCATCCCCTACAAGCCCCAAGCTCGCGTCACTTTACTACACCAAGCGGCATGCCACTAACGTTGCGCAACTTTACACCACACCTTGATTGTAGCTCTTTTCACGCACCAGTGCAGCAGGCGACGTGTCGTGCTGCGTGTGGACATCACTAACAGGGGGGGGGCTGGCGGAAGGTTCCAGAGTCTGAAACGAGCACACACACTTTGTGAAAATCTTATCCGCGGTGCCGCCTGGGCTCCGAGCTCGCTGGTCTCGTCTGTGTCTGCGGTGTCATCACAAAACAAATACAACAAGCGCTTCCTTTTTCGGAAGGGGGGGCTGTGTGTGCACGCGTGAGATACCCCCACCCCTCACTGTTTCGCGCCGGGCGCGGGGGCGTGGCGTTTTGCGCGTCGGAAAGAACAAGCGTCATCATCCGGGAACGCTTTCACAAGCCAGAAACTCCTGTCTGATTCTTCTCCTCCGCGTGTCCGTGGGTGGTGTGTCGTGCGCTCCTCCTCTTTTTAGCGCCTGGCTCGGATCAGCGCCTGGCTGCCTCGTCCATCTGTCTGCGGGGGGAGGGTGTGTGCGCGTGCGACGGCGGCGGCGGGTAGGCGGATGAAATGACCTCGCTCCGGAGGGCGCTCAAGGCATCTTTGAATGTTGAGAAGCCTCCTCCTTCGACATCGCACCGAGGGCGTGGGGGCAATTCCGCAGGTGGCCCGGCGGATAGACACAGGTGCGCGTTTTGGGGAAAGGATTAAGTTTGGGGGCGAGGGCCGTGCGCGCCACACGTCGACTGGATTCAACGGGAGACCTGCGCTAGAGTCGTAGTGGAGACCGGTTGGTCTTTGATCGGCTCGCCGCGCGTTGCCAGTGGCGGATTGATTTGAAGGTACGAACAGGCTTGTTGCTTGTTGTTTTCCCTGCTGCACTTCTCTTTTTTTGGCAACGCGCATCGTCGTCCGAAGTGAGGGATGTGTTTCCTTTCTCGCTACACGAGCTCCGGCTCCTCGCTTGCCGTTCCATGGGCAGGCACCATTTAGATCCGCCTCGCCCACTCTGTTCCGTTTGAGGGGAAATGAGCTTTTCTGTGTAGTTCTGAGCTCGATGCACCCAAGGACGTCGGAATGCGCGTATTAGAAGTAGACGCGTAACGCGGAAAACGGCTGTGTCCTGGGGTAACCAGTTTTTTGAAGCGAGGACGCATATGCATACACACCTCGTGGAAAAGTAGCCGCACAGGCGTTGGGGGTGTTCCACACGGCTCCATGTAGACGGATGGCGATCCCTCGGCTTTCGGAACGTGCATCCGGTCACGCTTTGCGAGGAGGCCCCGGCGCCGCCGTACGACGAGGATTTTGTGGTATCAGATGTGCTCGGGTCTTGGGTATTGCTTAAGCCGACGCGACGCCAAGTTCAATGTGCGGTTCTTCTATTTTTCAAGTTGTTTCCCTTCCGCTGAAAAAACGAAGAAAATAAGCCGCCCCAGACACCACACGTGTCGTTGCTTGGTAGTCGCACGCGCGCGTCCCTCATGTCTACCCAACCCCAACAGACCGTACACCTTACGCCATGGCCACCACAAATAGGGCAGGGCCATTGTGTAGACTAGCCGCCCAAAACACAGAATTGTGGCTTGCCATGAATCGATCATACAGCAGCCGGTGAATCGATTCGTTATTCCCAACCCGCCACCACGGCAGTCAAGACGGTATCTGCGACACGCGCCGTTTCTTTTCCGCCCCGTCGTCTCGTCTCGTCGGCAGGCGTTTTGGGGACGATGTCGGCGGGGACAGGTTCGGCGTGAGCTCCGACCGGAATCGCACCGGGAGCGGGAGTAGCTCGAGGGGCCGAGCCGGACGCCGCGGACGCAGGTGCGTAGGGGCCTCAGCGCTTTGTTGGCACGGGGTAACTATTGGCAACGGGGTTGGTCTTTCGTGACAAATGGCCGTCGTCGGCGTGACGGTCGCGTGGATTTCGCCGCTGGTGGTGTTTGGTAGCATGTGATTTTGTCTTGTGTGTGTGTCTTCGTGCTTGTCCTTTGTGTGTGTTACTCCTGCAACGGGGTTCGTGAAACGTTCTTGGAGATTTTTCGCTCTTTTGGGGGGCTTCAGGCCCAGGGATTCCCTCAAGCTTGTCTCTCCCTTGATTTTTCCGCCAGCAGATATCAGTTAACCATTCTTTGCGGGCGAAGCTGCAATTATAGTTGCATTTGCCAGCCTGAGTCGTGGATGTTGGTCGATCATTCTGAACTGCTGCGTGTTGCGATTGTATTTTTCACAGCTTTTCGCTTCTAGACAGGGAGAAAATCCGATGAGCTTTTCAACATTTGAAGTCTGTAATCGGGCGACGGGACGTCAGTCTGAGAGGCAAACGAAGGGTAGCGGCACACGTCTTCAGGCATATCAATGCGCCGGGACCCGCTTCGATTGAATTAATCTAGGTATTCCTGCACGATCTGCGTACCTTTCCAAAGCCAAAATCATACCATTTACGTGGAGATGGATGTCATGACACAACTGCTGTACCGCAAGGCTGCCGATGACGTAGTAAACTCTTCGAGACGCAGTTCGTCGGTAGTAGGGGACAGGAGGTTCTTGTATGCATTATTGTTCGGAAAAGATGTGGAATCGGGTGTTGTCGCTCGCACCAAATGTTAACAACAACACTACTGTCGAGTCCGGCTAGCAAGCACGTGATGCGTTGTGGTGGTTGTCGTTTTATGTCGTGTCGTCGTGCAAGCACAACAACGAAGCAGCGTTCGCGAGCTCCGAACCGCCTGCTGTTACTGCCACCGCACGCCTGTGTGTTGTGGCTTTCACGTGCGCCGGTTCTCCATGTCCTTTCCCCTTCTGTGGCGAGAGCGCCACGGCGATCTGTCCCTGAAGGCGAGCTCGGATGTGGCCGAGACGGAGAGCCCGGCGGCGAGAGCTCGCTTGTCTGGAGCAAAAAACTCGCCTTCTTGAACACGGCCGGCGGTAAAAAGGACGGTAAAGCAGCAGCATGCGTGCGTGGGTGGGTGGGCGTTTTGCTCGCCTGGATATGCTCCCTTCCCCCGAAAGTATCGCATCCGGCATTATCCCCGATTGCAATCTTCAGCGCCAAGATTGGAAACCTGTACACGCGTTGCAATTTCCTTCGCTAGTTTCGCTCTCTAGCCCTTTGGATTTGCTCCCGCAACCATTCGTGAAAATCTTCGCGCCAGGCGTCGTACCTCCGCTTCCTTTTCCGTGCTCGATGGACCAGTGACGTCCATCCATTGCCGCGAGACTTGCGTCGATTGCCGCGAGACGTACGTCGCGGCCAAGAGATGGACGTCTTGCCGCAATGGATGAACGCGAAGGGTTGACCACTTGGACTGGCCAATCAAGAAAGAAGAGCAGGAGTAGCATTTTTGACGACTGGGAGGAGGGTTTTGACGAGTGGTTGCGGGAGTATGTCCTATGGGCTAATTGAGAGAGCAAAACTGGCGGATTGCAAGATTGATATAGGAGGTTCGATCTTGACACTTGAGATTATGATGGGGGGATATCACGGATGCGATAATTTTGGGGGAAGAGGACATGAGCAGGCGAAGAAAAAACACGTGCTGCTGCTCTACCGTCCTTCCTACCGCCGGCCTTGTTGAAGAGGTCGAGTTTTTCCTTCCAGCCCGGCAAGCTCGCGACCGAAGTCTCCTTCTTGGCCACCTGTTGTCCCAAGCTCGGCTTGAAGGACAGAGCGCCATGGCGCTTGCCGCTTTCGCCACAGGGGGCTTGGAGGAAGGAAATGGTGCGCACGGGGAAACCACGACACGCAGGCGTGCGGTCCACAAACAAGAGGGGACAACAGCAGTCGGAGCTCTCGAACGGACGATGTACGACCACCACCGCAGGATACCGTACATCGCAGTAGCATGTGTTGACACTTTGCTGCCGTCGCTCTCTTCTGCTTACTGTCGACAGCTCGGGAGATGGAGGCGACGATTCCTCCGAAGAGGCGGACAGCGACGAAATGGACGAATCGGACTCCGATGATGAAACCCCCATGACCAGCAGCCGCGGCAGGGCGACGGTACCGGACCGACGTCACGTGTCGGGGGGCGCCACAAAGCCCAAGCAGGGAGAGGCGGAGCCGGTGTCGCCGCCGAGGCAGAGCGTTATCGCGGCGGCCCACGGGGCGGAGGTGGGGTCGCAGATCAAGGTCAAGTTCGACACTGGTCACTGGTACAGCGGGACCATCCTCAAGGTCGACAAAAAAGGGTGAGAGCAGAGCTTAGAATGCTTTGGACGTTTGTCTTGGGCGTGATTGTTTCGGGCAGGTGTGACTCGAGAGTAGTCAGTGAGTGGAGCCCCTCATGGGAGTATTTACCCTCCGAAGCGCGTAGTTAGAAGTGGCCAGCCAAACGTCCACAGCCAGCTCGGTCTATCGACCCCCCATGTCTATCGGCTGCTGCTGGTAGGGCCACACAGGGTGGGTTTTTGAGTTCAATCTCACCCCGCGCAGGTCTTGGTACATTGTTTCAGGGCTTTTGTGTGAAGTTATCCCGGAGACTCACGGCATTCGTTGCGTCTATGTACTTTGTCGTGACTGTTTTCCCGAAAGTACCCCCGTCGGTCCCATTCGTCGCGAAGTTGTCTCTGCGCTGAAGGCTTGCTGTAGGCGTCATGTGTAGCAGTACCGGTATTGTATTGGTGTGCCGCGCGCCTTGTTCATGAAGCCTAGGGTCGCTCACAACTAACCACGACTTGCGAGACATTCATCAATTTGTGTCGTTTGGCGCCCGGCTTTTCGTTGTGCTCCAGGGGTATGATTCGCATCGACTACGACGACGGCACGCAAGAGGTCTCCGACATTCCCGACAGTGACATCGTGATCTACCCCTGGCTCCCGCTGGAGAAGCGCGTCCGCCCGCGGACCCTCGCTCAGATGCGGGCCGAAGAGGCAGAGGCCAAGGCCAAGGCCAAGGCCAAGGCCAACACCACCAAGTCTGAGGCCGCGGGGGGCACGACGACCGGGAGCTCGCGCAAGGTGGCGGTGAAGACGGAGTCCCGGCTCCCCTGGGCCCCCCCCCGAGGCAAGCAGGCGCAGGGCCGCCAGCAGCGGCAGATGGCCAACAGCAGCAGGCGCGAGCAGCAGCAGCAGTCGAGCGCGCCCGCGAGGGCAGGCAGCGGACGTGGGGCACCGAAGGCGGCGGCAACAGCGGCTTCGTCGTCTTCATCGGAAGAGGAGGAGGAGGACGATTCAGAGGAGTCCGAAGAGGAGGACGACGAGGAGGACGACGAGGAGGACGAAGGGGAAGACGGAGACGATGAATCGGTCCATAGCGGCGGCGGCGGCGCGAGGGACGCGCGCGAGGCGAGGAAGAACGGCCGGTTACAGCAGCAGCAGCAGCAGCCGAGGAACGGCAAGATGCTATCGGCGGCGGCAGGTAGGGGGCGCCAGTCGTCCCAGCGGCCGGCCCCCCGAAAACGACCGGGAAGACGCCACGGGCGGGGCGGGAGCGCGCCGAAACGCCGACGGGGCGCGCTTGATGGTGAGTAGCTGTTGATAATCGACGGGCGGTAGGTGGTGTGAACCGACGGAGGCCCCTTTATCGTGAAGGTGTGAGCCGGAGGGCCTTCCCTCAGCAGGCGTTTTTTGTCAGGCAGTAAATATCCAGCTACAAGGCTTTTTGCGATTAGCGTTGACGGTAGGCGCGCACAGGGCTGTACTTTGCGATACGAGAAGACCGCGTCGCTATCTAGCTACGGCAGAGCGTAGATCCAGGGCACCGGAGCGCGACGTGTTCTAATATTGTCTGTTGGTTTTAGTTACGACAACCCCGTATGGGTGGGAACACCCCGATCCCGGTGCGGAAGTACAACAAATCATGTTCTACAGCTTTTCCAATCCAAGGGACCCCCCGTGGGATAGCTCATAGAGGTGTGATGGTGAAAACGAAGCGTCCCTACCCCGGCCTGCAGTGCCGCACACGAGCACCCCGATGCAACAACTTTGCGATGCAACGAGCTTGACAAGTGTAGCGATGATATTGGTGGTGATGTAGCAGCTTGCATGCCAGTGCATGCAGCGAGTGTTGACCTGTGATGGGGTCGAATGCGACTTGAGTTATGTCGTGGACCAAGGACTATCAATGGTGTGGCCTCGTGCTGGGAGTAATCAGTTATTCTGTTGGCGTCGAGTTGGCTGCAGTCCTCCTATTGTCGTTTTGTCTGTAACAGCGAGCACGGTACTACTGAGTGGCTTCCTTCTGTGTCCGGTAGTTTGTAGGTGGCGGGGTGCATCTTGTAAATGCTAAGTAGGTTGAGTATTAATTTAAGCACGATTGTTGCGAACTGGTCCGTACGTCGATACCGCGACTAAAAGCATCTGGACTCATTCCTACGCGTGCTCAGCGACCGTGCAATACATTTGAGGAGTCCCACCCCTATGGTAACCCTCGCCGAGTCTGAAGTACCAACTGCATAGTCCCCGGACGCAACCCAATAAGTGACACGGAGACACTTTGCGCTAGTATGCAATCTTTGGACGCTCGAAGCGTAGGATTTCAGTGGGGGTTGCCGCACGTGGTGCAGTAAACACGATCCCGGTGCAGAAATCTAACGTCGATTCAGTAATGCCGCTCTTTTTTTGGGGAGTTCACCCGTGGGGATGACCAAGTATTGCGGAACAAACTCGCGCGTACGCCCGGAACCTGGCCCGGACTGTTTGTGGGATTCAGCCCGTGTGCAGGGTCGAGTTGTGCGTTGTATGCTCACTCGTGTTTTTTGGCCATTTTTGGCGGAACTACGAACTACTTCGAATATTTGGTAGGGTGTGTCTTCGTATGCTTTGTGGCCTTGACTTTCTAGAAGAATACTGTACAGCACTTCCCGACGTCCATCTCAATATTCGAGCGCGAGCGTGTTTTTTGCGGAGTCGCCGCTTGTGGAACCAGTTGGAGGCTTTCGAAACGATGTCAAGTCCTTCATGTGCCTTACGCTTTTCCATGCGTGACTCGGCTCGGCTCGGCTCGGCTCGGCTTGTTCCTCTTGCTCAACGCGTCTCTAGTGTTCCAAGTCTTATCCTCTCTCTCTCTCTAGTATGCTTGACGTCAAAACCGCGGCCTTGTCCCACGGGTGCAGGCACCAACACCCCGAGCGGACAGACGAGCGGATCCGGTTCAGGCTCCGAGGAGGAGGAAGAGGAGGAGCTGGACGACATGTCCCTAGGCATCAAGGCGAAGGCTCGCAGCCCGCGCGCGAGCCCCCGGAGGAAGCCGGCCGCCTCCGCGCCACCCAAGCAGCGCAAGGGGCAGAGGCTCGGCGGCCGCAAAGACGGCTCGAAGGAGGCGCCGCGGAGGGCGGCAGCGGGGGCTCCGCGGACAGGAGGGTCGGCGAGATTATCTCGCGCGGCTCGGCCCGGATCGTCCCTATCCACCTGTTCCGGCTCGGAGAGCTCCTCTTCTTCGAGCTCGTCCGCTGGCTCCGAGGACGCGCGCCCGGTCGCGGCGGCGGCGGAGGGACGGAGCGGCGGGCAGAAGAAGGCGTCGGGGAGCGCGAAGGGTGGCCCAGCGTCCAAGGCTACTTCAGGGCGAGGGGGCGAAGCCCGCCAGAAGTGCGAGGGGGGGCGGGGGGGGGGGAAGCCCGAAGGGGGTCGGGACGCAGCCGTAGCTGTGACGGCGGCAGCGGCGGTCAAGAAGGAGGACGGGAGCAAAGGTGTTGGGGANGGGGGGGGGGGGGGGGGGGGGGGGGGGGGGGGGGGGGGGGGGGGGGGGGGGGGGGGGGGGGGGGGGGGGAAGCCCGAAGGGGGTCGGGACGCAGCCGTAGCTGTGACGGCGGCAGCGGCGGTCAAGAAGGAGGACGGGAGCAAAGGTGTTGGGGAAGAGAAGGGAAGGGAAGCCAAGGCCGCCGCCGCTGCCGCCCTGCGAAACGGCGGCGTTCAGGGGGAGGAGGGGCGCCGACCACATAGAACGCAGGAGGTAGGTGGTTCAGAGTTTTGTGGCTCTTGTGTATTAGTGTGGTGGGTCTGTTATATGCGTGAACGTATGTGCGTGTACCTTTGTGGGAGTGGAAATAAGTATTTGGCTGGGGTGTCCCGTTGGCCCCACGACAAGTTCTGGGCGCCGACCGAAGGACATTTCCTCGCAGGCATAGACCAAGCGATATTTTCGCGCGGCTTGCTTGCCTTCGCCCGGGCCACTTCCGGGTGTCACTCTGCGCACGTGTATACGCTCATTTCACCCTTGTTTGCATGAACGCGCTCGCGACTCAATTGCCCGTTTTCTCGTCGGCACCCACGGCCGCTCCCCGTGGTCCGCAGCCCAAGAAAAGCAAGCAGGCCAAGCCACCAACCGCTGCCGCGGCCAAAGGCGCCCGCACCAGCACCGTCGTCAAGCCGGAGGCCGTTCTGCGTGGGGGAGGGAACGCGTCAAGCGGGTGGAAGGACGGAGCGAAGCCCCTCGCGGACCGACGAGAAGCGACCCCGCCGGTGGAAGTCCTCCCGACCCCGGCCACCGCCGCCGCTGCGCGGAGTTCCAACGTGGGGGAGGCCGGGTCGAGGGGGAGGGGAAGGGGCGGCGGCCGCGGGCAGGCGCGGGGGGGAGGAGGAAGGGCGAAGCAGCAGACCAAGCGCGCCGAGCCTGCTGCTATCGACGTCCGGCCAGCGGAGGGCAAGGAGCGGGGCGAGAGCACTGCTGCTACTGCGGCGGCGGCGGCGGTGGCGGCGGCTGGGGTGACTACACCCGTCTTGCAAGGGTCAGCGGAGAGGAAGGCGGGGCTGTCGACAGATGTGTCTTCGAGCACGCGCAAGAGCCCACGAAGCAAGGAGGTGAGAGCAAGTTTTTTTGGTAAATGTCGCAACAAGAAATTGAAACGTCTGGGCCCGATGGCCATCTCTCCCGTCGAGTCGCATGCGTACGGTCCACGGCGTTGTGATATGAGGGGGAAATTGCCACCAAGTAAACCTGACACGTGTGTTACCCAAAAGCAGCAAACAAGCAAGCCATCCTAATCTTGGTGCGTCCTCTCTTTTCGAGCTAAGGTCTTGCGCATTCTGCTTGGTGCTGCAGCTTTTTGTGGAGAGCGAAAGACCACCCCAGCTCTTTGAAACCGTGCCTTTGGCGTGAGGCTCGCAGCTCGTCTTGTGTCCACTAGGATCACCTGTATCATTCGCCGAGTTCTTCATATGGACAGTGTTTGCGGTGAAACAGAAGTAGATTGGTTGATACTCTTTGTTTGCAACGCGTGCCGTGAGCTACAACAGAGTTGACTCTCGTGTATGTCTGCCTCAACTACCCTTGACGGAGACGGAGGAAGGACCTGTTATGCTTCAAGGGCTCAGTACTCACGTACACCCACCTGTGGTGAGCGGCAGATGCCGTCGGATACGGTTGGGGGTGTATCCCGTTGTTTTTTGTTTTTGGTCGTCGTCTCCCACAGCAGTGAACGTTTCTTAAATCGGAAGATCGTTCGCGAACGAGTCAAGAGAAAACGATCAGTCGGGTCCGTCTCCATGATGCCCCGTTGGTAGTCTTGAAGTAATGCCTGCGGCCAGAACTATTTTTCCTTTCATGAAGAGCAAGAGGAGACATCGGAGAGGCAAAGGAAGCCCTCCCGCAAGTCGACTGACGTTTCGGAGCGGCAAGAACGATTGCTGACCATGTCAAACACTTGCCTTGTTTTTTTCCCCCCAACAGTTGGATTTTTCAGACGGATTGCGATATGCTCACTATTCAGCATTGCCTCCCCGCTACTGTTTCGCCATTAGAGTGGACACACAAGGTGATTGTGGTGGTGGTTTTGGAACGCCACCATTGTTTTCGGCACACGCAAAGCCAAAACCGCGCGACACGCTTGGGTGTTTGGTCGTGGTGTTACCATGCACTTGTCAGCTCAACGTCGCCGCAGCTTGGCGTAGACCCAGGTAGTGGTAGAACTCGTCTACCTTCAATCCTTCAACCGGTTCGGTCATATGGAGTAGATCCATACAGGCATGCTTGAAGTTGAAGACGTTGTGGTCATGATTTGATCCTGAGCATCAGGTCACTTGAGGATTTTCGCTTCTGACGCAAGTGCTCCTGTACGGCAGGCGGGGAAGACCGGGGAAATGGTTCGCTGTTGTAGGTGCCCCTCCTTGTGTGGTTGCAATGAACCCGATGGAAGGCATCTGCCTAACCGTGAGGTGTGGCGACCAAAAGAAATATTCACTCCTATTCCTCTCGCACCGTGGGGTATATAAAAAGAGCTAGACTTGCCGAGAGCAAAACTGCCGTCTGCAGGTAGCGCCCGAAGCCACCGCTGCCGTTCATGACGCCCGCTGCATTACGTGGGCGATTCGAGCGAGGTTGCCCATACCGGGCGCTGTACGGTGCGGCGGGTCTAAGCCAAATGTCCACCATCGCTCGTCTGGGCACCCTCACGGAACCCTCTCCTGTACGGTGAACATTGACCAACCCGTCCCTCGCGACTTTCCTCCCCTCTTGCGGCAGACGCCTTCCTCCCCTCGGTTGGGCAAGGGGGTCAAGGAGAACGAGGTCAGCAGCGGCCCCCCCGAGGTGGCGGAGGCCAAGGCCGGCCGCGTGGCGTGCGCGCAGCGGAGGTCGACGTCTCCCGCCAGTGCGTCGAGCTCTGAGGGCGTCTACGACTGGGAAGGTCCGTCAGGAAAGAGTGCTGCGGAACGAGGTGGGGGCTCCGCGAAGACGGCGAAGAGCGGTACGGGCCCTGCTGCGGTCGTGTCAGGAAAGGATACCTCGCGTGATTCGGACAATGGGGAGGCGGAGGCTAGCAAACCAGACGCCCGGAAGGCGGACGGGGGCGGCACACAGCGGGAGGAAACGAAAGCGGGTGGTGGTTTGGCGACAGCGGCTGAGGCAAGCGTTCCCCGACGGCCCTCTGCGAGCAAGCCGAAGGGCGAGGACGTCCTTGAGGCGGCGGAAGAAGGCAAGACCGGCGCCGAGAGCAGCAGCAGGGCCCCGACCACCGAGGTGGCCGCGAAGGCTAAGGTCATGGTTTCGAAGGCAGAGGTGGTGGCGTCCGGTCTGCCACCTGCCGCCGAACAACGCGACGCCGACTCCGACGCCGTGAAGCCGGAGGGCTCCCCCCCCTCGAGGCCCCCCGACACCGCTGCCGCGGCGCCGCCTGTCGACGAGGCTCCCCCTGCGGCCGAGGAGCTTGCCGCCGCCAGCAACGACAAGGCGGAAGAGGGTCTCCTGGCGAACGGGTTCCGAGACGTGGCGAGCGGCGCGATGGGAATTGACTCCACGGACGACACCGGTCCCGCCAGGGGGGGGGAGCCTACCGAGAGTCGTGCTCCCGTGGCGGACCCGCCGGCACCGAGCGCTGTCCCGTCACCCCCCAGCCCCAAGGCCCAGGATGCGATGGACGTAGACTCGGGAGGGGAGGAGGGAGGCGGTGGTGCGGCCACTCCTACGCGGGACGAGGCGGCGGTGGTTGTGGCTGGTCCCGTGAAGACTGGCTGCAAGGCCTCCAACAGCAGCAAGATGGGCGAGACCGCTTCCTTGAGCGGTGCCGGTAGAGGCGGACGAGTTGGGGGGGGTAGTCCTGTGCGCAAAAGGCCACGGAGCGAGGAAAAGCAGGGGGCCGAAGCGAAGAGCGGTTGGCCTGCCCCTGTGCCCTCGCGCTTGGTGCGGGCAGGCCCGGAAAGCATGGACATCGACGAGGAGAAAGGCGTGCGAGATACGGACTCGGCAGGCGCCGGTCCCGCGTCTCCTTCCCCGAAGAAGGAGGTTGCATCGGGCGCCTTTGGGCGGCCCCGTTCGCAACCAAAGCCCGCGATGCAACGGGACGAGCGTGCGCCCGCGGCTACGGAGGCTGACGATCGAGCGTCGAGTCTGTCAGAGGAGCAGCAGACGACCAACGAGGGCATCGACTCGCCGGAACTCACGATCGACCCGCCTTCCGCGGCGGTGGGCAGCGGCGGTGCCAAGGTAGAGGCGGACGGGGGCCACCAAGGGCAGGACCCCGGTAGCGGGGGCGGTAAGAAGGGCGAGGATGGCAACAGCAAGCGCCAGAATGGCATCGCCGTCTCTTCTTCCTCGGATGCACCGCGCCCGTCGACGACGATCGGCCTAGGGAGGGAGGGGGGTAGCAAGGGCAGCGAGCACCGTCAGGTCGAGAACGGGAAAAAAGAGGGACGGCCGGCGCAGTCCGCGCCGGGCGCTGCGTTGGAGAGGGTGTCAGTGACTGTCTGTACTCCTGTAGATGGCACTCACGCCGGTCCCCGTCCGCCGCCGGTCGATGCTGCTGCTCCCGCCGCGAAAGATCCCGGCGGCGCATGTGAGTCTCCCACGAAGGAGCAGCAACCGGACTCTCCCGCGAAACCGCTTTGCTCTTCTCCCTCGAAGCAGCCGGAATTCGCCGCGAAGCCGCTGGACTCTTCCCCCACGAAGCAGCAGCCGGAATCTACCGCGAAACCGCTGGACTCTTCCCCCACGAAGCAGCAGCCGGAATCTACCGCAAAACTGCTGGACTCCTCCCAAACGAAGCAGCAGCCGGAATCACCCACGAAGCAACAGCCGGAATCTCCCACAAAGCAGCCAAGATCTCCCACGAAGGACCTAAGACCTTCCACGAAGGAACCAAAATCTCCCACGAAGCAGCCGAGATCTCCTCCGAAGCAGCCGAGATCTCCTACGAAGCAGCCGCGATCTCCTCCGAAGCAGACGGAGCCCGAGCCGCGCGACCAGGAAGCGTTTGTCCCGGCGGAGGCTGCTGATCGGCGACCGGCTGCCGTCGGGAAATCGCCCGTGGTACACAATCCGAAGGAAGAAGAGGGCAAAGAGAAGGAGGAGGGGGGCGGGGGGGAGGAGGAGGAGGAGGAGGAGGAGGAGGCTCCTGCGGCCGAGGCGAAGCCGCAGCTGCAGCAGAGCAGCAGCACCACCATTGACGACTCCGAAGGAGAAGAGTCTCAACAAGAGACCCAGGCCCCCGCTTCAAAGGTCGCCCGCAGCGGAAGCGCGGACGGCAGCGACGGCACCGGTGGTGAGGAGCCCCGGCACGTCGGCAGGAAGCGGTCGGGCGTCACCCGCTTTGAGCCCAGCATGGACCCCGACCGAAATCGACTCGGGCAGCGCCCCGAGAGGCACGAGCGCCAGGCCGCGGTGCTCGCGACCAAGCGGCTGGCCGCGAGTGCCCCGATCCGGCGGGCGGGCCGTGGGCGGGGGCACGATTCCGGGGGCGGCAGAGGGAGGGG